CAAACACTCGGACCTCACCGAACACAAACAATAGCACCATTTAACAGAAAGCTCAGCAGCTGCATGGCAGAAAATAAGCACAGACAGGTGACAGAGAAAAGGAGCCAGTATTTTCAGGACATAGGGAGGATTTAAAATCCACAGCTTTCCTCAACATCAGATTACAGGAGAAATTGTGTCTCTGCTCTCTTTTCATGGAGGTCTCCACACTGTATATGTGATACATGATCTGGAACAAGAAGATTCCTGACTTCCATTACCTGATCTTAATATAAAAAATAAAATAAAATGCGGTCCTTCCACAAGAATCAGATGTTTCTCTCACTTCTTTGTTCTCTCTGGCCCTATGTAACTTTCCTTTGACGTCTCTGTTTCTACATAGAGAAATAATTTCAGAGGGATTAATGGGGTTTAGGTACCTCATTATAGGAAAAATCAGTATGTATATGCAGTAAAGATTTTATAAACTGTACCAAACAAAGAGCAAATATTAAATAAACAACTCATACGCTAAATACCTCTTGTAGCCTTATTAAAAATGAGAAATCTACCAGTTAGAAGTAGACACAGTTTCTAAAAAGTTTTCAGTTCACACTATGACCAAGAGAAGAGAAAGATGGCACTGTTCACCAGCCGTAATAAGTTAACCCATCCACCTCTGTCATTGCATTCCACCTAAATTACAAGGTGCTCACTCAGCACTGTGATTATCTCAAGCCTGGTTTACAGTCATTAGCTCATTCTCCCTCTGATACCATTTTAGATCTGAGAACATTGTCCTCGCAGTATCCAGATGATAAATACCAACTGATTCAGCTGTGGCAGTAAAGGTGAATGCACCTGTCATAAATATTCACCAACTGATCTACACAAAAGACCATTTTATTTGTACAGTTGATGAGAAAAGCCATTGTATAACAAATGATACTGTTCAAATTCTTACCAGGAAAGCTTTATAAGTCTAGCACAGTGATTCTTTACACAATGATGGCTAACATGACAGCAACTATTAATTATGACAATGCACAGTGCACAAAGGAGATGTGCAGCTCCAGCCAGACTCTGATGGTGCCACTGCTCTGCTTAAAAGCCTTGAGCAGTGTTGCATTCCTATGCACATGTTGATAGTTATTATCATGGTAAAGATCAGACTGAGGAAAACACCAATTTAGCATGATGATTCAGTTACAGCCCTTCATCCTACTTTCACAGCAGTGGGATTCCCTCTCGTTAGTCAGCTTATATGAATTTCAGTCAACCTCCAAAGTAAAACAAACAAACAAACGAACTCTACATAGCTCTTTCATACCAGCATTTGGGAACTGAGAGGGAGCAGTTCCCCAAACTATTTCAGCTTTATGATTTAGCTTCAGAGAATATAGCAGTAGTTCAGACTCATCATAAATAAATTTGAGCTCAAATGTTTAATTACATGTGAAATCTCATTTATATTATTAAAATTTCTGGAACCTAATAAGTGGGGATGATATTTCTTGGGAGAAACCAAAAATTTGTAAATGGTAAGAATGATGGTTTTTTCCTCCCTTGCCTGCAATTTTCTGAAATTTCACACATCCATAAAGATAACAAATTTTCCAACACTTTTTAATGTCATCCAGTTGAGAAAATGGAAGAAAACTATACTTATATACTTTTTTTTTCTTTTTTTGGAAGATGCTTACATGTCAAACTGTAATAAAAACAAGTAACTTCCATTTTGTTGTTTGGTATGAATTATTGAGGTACTACTGAAATGTCTGTAATCTTTATTTTAAATTATCATTCAAATGTCATTTACATCTACTTTTTGCTTCATGTCATATATCAATTATTACAGATTATCCTTTAACTAAGGAAAATCAATACAGATAGTCTCAAGTAGCTGAATCAATGTTGGGGGAGAGATACTAACTTTTGCAGTTTTCTTATCACCTTACTGGTGACCGACACAAGATTTTTCCTTTAAGTTTCTCAGATTTTTAACTGGAAAGAAAGCAGGAAAAAAAGCAAGGGATAAAAAGGATAAATAAGACTGAAACTAGAACTAATCCTTAAGAGTATCAGCTGCTATCTTAGCTTCTCAAAAAGAGAAAGGGTGTCAGAGTGTGATCACCCTTTACTCATGGAGGCTGACAAGGCAATATATTCTATAATAACTACTTCTGACTGTGTAACCTGCTTTCTACCTCTTCATTCAATTTCTTTTTGACTACAGGTTGCATTAGCAATTTCCAAAAGGCTTCTATGAGTTGCCTTTTAGTAAAACAACCTCTTGCAAAAAAATGAATTTTCTCTGCCTAGTGCCTCCAAGATGATAATGACTTAGAGCCTAGCGCTGTTTATCTTCAGCGTTTACTCTCCTGTTAAAAAATAATGCCAAATCTGAAAAATTATATATAAGTCCTATACAACTGTAGAACAGAGCTCTATACCTCTGCCTACATATATGCCTTTATTTAATAGCAAGCAATCTATATTTCTGTCTGTGATACACCAACTGTCCCATGTAGGTCACTGCTGCTCCCTGCTGGTTTTCATACATGTGAGGAACCATGCATCCCCTTCCAAGTAGGTGGTGAGGAACAGCAAAGTGTTTGTCCTTGCAGACTTCCTGGTCATAAACCAAGTGTGACCACGCGTGTACTTAAAACAAACTGTTCTCAGACTGTGCGTCAATCTCTCAATAACGTTTTCAGTTGATTAAAAGTTTACACTATGGAAACAGGAATATATTATGACTGGATTGGTGCTGTGAAGAACATAAGCTACAAAAGCAATGCTGATAGACTAAGATTTAGAAATCCTGCAATAAGTATTTTCTAGCTTTTTCCTGTCTCTCTGCTTCCTCTTTCTTGACTGGTTAAAACTCTCAGAGAGAGGTTTTCTCTTCAGTTTATGATACTACCTGATATTTATGATAATATTATGCCTAACTCATACCTTTTTTTCCAATGGTGGTATAATTTCTGTCATTCAACAAGCAAAGTACTTTGTTCAATAGCTTCCTTGTTTGATAACTGTTCATTTATTTAGCTGCCAAAATATCAGTTTACAAACTCTGTTATAATATTTGCGATATGATATTAAGATAATGTGTTGAGAGTTGAAAAATACTTAGCAAACAGTAGCGGAGATCAGTACAAGGTTCAGATATTAAAATATTCTTAAAATAAGTCACTTTTCTTCTAATGCTTGCAGACTCCACATATACGAAAGAAACCTCATGTCTCTGCAAAACCTCGAGATAGCACCTCATTTACAGCAATGACCCATTACACAGATATTAGGACCAAAATTTTAGATACAATAAAAAATTTAGTGTTCCTTCCTTACTAACACAACACAGATGGCTGTCAGGTGAAGCCTTCGAATACTTTATCCAATCCATCCTTAAAGACAGCAACATGAACAAATGATAAACTCTCCCCTACCTTTCTACATAGTCACTTACAGCTCCTGGAATGCATTTCCCCAGCTATTACATGGTTAAAAAGCAGAAGCATGGCCATTGTTTCACTAGATAAATTCTATAGAATAGTTCAGTTATCTCAGAAGTAGAATAATTTTAGGGTCAAACAAAATATATATTCAGTTTCCAGCAGTAATGTCAACTGGCAAAAGCAAGTTATGAAAGTGCTCGCAAACAGCTTCTAACTTGCAATATAATTAATTGACACATTAAAATTACACAGATGAAAAATACATGCTCCTTTCCTTATCTGGATGACATAATAAATACTAATGGAAAAAAAAAAAGTTCAGTAATAAGCTTGAATTAATTATATGTTTATTGAGGCACAGTGAAGTAAATGAGCACGGGAAGCTGGCAAAGAGCCAGATGAGTAATAAACAGTTTTAAGACTGTCTGGAGACAAACTTGAGAATATTATAGTCATCAGGCAGCTGAAAACAGCCGCAGGGTAATTATAAGCATTTGCAATCGATTAAAGAGAGCATGATTCTTTTATGAATCTTTATCAAACTTGCATTAAAACTTTAAATGATTTGAAAATGTTATGGTTTCAAATACCCTTTTGTCAGTGGTGGTCATATATTTATTTCTGGAAAATACGTGTGCAGAAAAACATCAACTGAATTACTTACTCTATATGTTTCTTAAAGGAGATACGAGGAATCCAGGGCCGTATGTACAGATGGGCATCATCTCAGAATATCACCTCTCTTACAACACAGGAGGCAGCCTCTCTGCAAGCAGGTCAGCCTTTTCAGATCTAGGTACAATCCCATCTTTTCCAGGATCTTTAAAGAGCAGTACTCCAGTCCTATAGCATTACACTCAATTTATCTCAAAACAACCACCTTCCTGGGGCAGGGATGAGTAGAAGGCTCTTTTATTTTCGTAGTTTTACAGACCTCTTTACTCAGGCTAGAATCCTCAGTAATACAGATCTTGCTGCTCTCCTCCTTGAGATTATTTTATTTTGTGTCTTTCTCTGAAATCCTCCCTCAAATTGAGCTTGAGACATCTTTAGTGATGTGACCAGGTACCTCGCACCACTGCCTTCATTCTTTCGTGGTGCACAAATAATCTGAAACTCCATTGTATGCTGAGTAGCAAGAGGAGAGATCAATAAGAAAGTTTCCGCAAGACAGATGCCCTCTAAACTATTTCCTACTGCTAAACTTCTCCTTTCCAGCGAAGTCTTCAATTACTTCTTCAACCTCTGCTTGCTATGGGAACACCTCCTTGAGCCTCACAAAGCAAATCCCTTTCATACCCTTAAAGCTTGCTTTGTTTCTTTTCTTTGCAAAAGTTAAAATTAAATTACCACCTAAAGGAATGCAAAATATCCATTGCCAAATATATGTATGATTATTAAGAAGGTCAACAAAATTTAAGCAAAGATACCTTCATCCTGGAATCTGCAAATACTGTGTAAATCAACAGCAATGGTTGCATATCAAAGGCATGCTGGGTTGAAAAACACAGGGTTAAGCTAGAAATTTGGACACAGGAGTGAGGTTTCCCAACTTTTTAATACAAAATACAGAAGAGTTTTAAAATATTACTGCCACCACAAAAAAGGAGAATAAGAAATAAGATAAAATTAATTCTCCAGGAACAACCTTATTTCCCCAACCTTTCTAGATTAAGTACAGAATCTTTCTATCTGCTTTGGCACCAAAAAAACCCATTAAAAATAAATGCTTTCAAACAGCTAGACTTTCTTTCATCTTAGAAATGCAGAGATATCTACACTGTAAATTGCACAAAATTTACAATTATGTTCTTACAATGATTGACTGGTTTCTTCATAAGGAATTTACTACTACAGAAAAGTATCTACATATTCCTGGAAAACAGAGAGAACTGTAAACTGCCTGAAGAGTAAGACATGAATTACAAAACCTTGCCCCTTGTTGGTACACCACAGAGATAAAACCCAACAGTGTGCTGGGATTCTAAGTCAATTACTTTGCTTATATAGCCTGAGCTCACACATTCAGATCTGAAATAACTATTTCATTTGTTTTCCTCTGCAACTGAATGTGTAAGGCTCTTTTTCATGGTACTGTTTAGGGACTGGCCCTTGTCAGATGGCAGTCTGTGGGTGAGGTAGAATTTGCTGCTTCAAACTACATTTTGTTTGCTTTCAATTTGAAATCATAAAGTAAAGATGTAATAACTTGGCAAAGCTCAAAATGTTTACGGATGTCAGTGGCTCTTCTTACAAATCTAAACTTTGCAATTTCCAAAGGTATAAGTTATGTATTTACAGTATCCAGCCTGAAAATAAGTTCACTGAAAAGGGTCCTAAGGATGAGTTCAGAGACTAAGTGGAAGAACTGCCCAGTCTCTACACCTGCTTGTAAGAAGGAGACACGCAGCTACCCTCTACAGAATAGCGATCCTATGGTTTCAGCTGAGCAGTCAAGAATGAGAAGAGTAGGAGCCGATTTGGCTGCTTAAATGAAGTCAATTTGGCTTGTACATACTGTGTGGATAGTAATTTTAATAGCAGGATGAGAAAGGCATCAATCCACTGCATAATTTTGCCGCATTTCATGCTGCCTGCTCTTTAAGTCTGCAAGAAGACTGTTCTTAATGGGATTTGAAGAAGCACACAATTGTCCTTGAAGACTTTTAATATCCTTATATGAAATTTTCTTAAGCAAAATCAGATTTCCTGTCCTGGGCAGGCCTTTATCTTGTTTTACTTCAAGGAATGAAACACACTAAATACAAGGGGACTGACTGCACTGTTTTCACTGGGAGTTTGATATAGATCATCCCAGCAGAGAGCAAGTACGGGAGGGGGAAAGAAGACTCATCCCATTCTGATTTTCACATGTTCATCTTAGTTTATGCACTAAAGGTATAGATACAACTGTAGTAAATAAAATACAAACAAACATCACCTAGGTCTGCTTGAGTTAAAATGTTCTCTTTTCTTACCTTCTCAGTCATTAACTGTTACTGTGTGTAAGCCTCACATTTGTTACTGGCAAGACTCTACCACTGACAAAAGACTATAGCTTTACTAAAATCTTTCACCAGTTAGTCAGCATAAATAAGTCAACAGCATTAAGATGCTTTTTTGATTATCGTCAAGGAGTCTTGTTTGGGTTTGTGTTAGAATAGTCAACCTACCTACAATTTTTTACTTGGGAAAAACCCATCAGTTAAAAACTTAGATGTCAATTATTTCAGAAATGCATTTCTGCATCACTTCTTCAACAAACAGCTGATTACAACTTAATGTAAGAATTGCTTCCTTCAAAGGCTTTAACTTCTTTGTTGGTAAAGAACCCTTAGACTTGAATCTTCTAGTATTTAGACAGAAGTGTTAAAATGTTAAAAATGAATATACTTGTCTACTTATATTCAAAAAAGAACTTAGGATTTTTAAAAAAGGATAACATTGCAGAAATCTCTCTTGGCCCTGCAGAAAGAAACATTTCCAATTATAAACAATTCTATAACTCTTTGAGAAAGAAAAGGAATCTATGATAGACTGCAAGATAAAACTCAGAAGCAATCCAATTCATAGGATTAAAAAACTACGACATGGATAAATTGACACATAAATAGTCGCAGCCTCTTTTAAAGGTGCAAGGGATCTGATTTAGCACACTATTTACTTTGGATATGAGCCCAGTTCTACTGTAGGAAAATTTATTTTAAGTATGAAAGGCACATTTTCTTTCACAGAATGAAATTATTACTGGAAATAATTTCAGTAATTAAACTAAAGTATTTTGTTATAAATCATAAATTAAATCACTAGACAAAATAACTGCTCAGAAAGGAAAGTACTGCAATTCTGCTGGCTGCTGTAACCAGTCAGTCAAACAGCATTTTCATGTTTTCTAACTTAACAAAAAGTTGGCAACAATAGGAAAAACCAAAGGATTAACATATATAGGAATCTATATTTCCATTACTTCTCAAGTGCCATTTTACTGCTATGGAGACATCACTTACTGTTATGATACACATCTTGAGGAGGAAAGATCACTACATATGAAAAAAAACCAAACAAAGGAAACAACCCAGGGTAAGAATTTGCTCCATTTGTACAAGTGACAGTTCTGCAGAGGACTGTGCAGAACATATCAGTAATCCTAATATGGATTTAATTCTAATGCAAGTGTTGATCTCCCACCTATTTTAATATTTAATACTAAATGTTACATTAAAATGTCTACTATTAACTGCTGCAAGCAGTTAAACTGAGTAAAGCCTCCAACCAGCATCTGATTTTCAGTCTGCATGAGCTGAGAGGGAGAAGTAAATCTCATACTGCCGCAGATCCTCTCAGGAAAGCTGAGGAATGGGACTGGGATCTTCCAGAGGGAATTCCAACCACCCTTATCTGCAGGGACTCTTTGACCAACAGGATGGCTTACCCCTGGACTTCCACCCCATGTCGGCATGCCTAGTCTTGATTTCTTTCTAAAATAGGCACAGAAGCTAATGGTAATGTTCCCTTCCTCAAGCCATTCTGGGGTTCTTTGGCCAACTCTCTCTTATAAAACCCAAACTGATGCTGGGATTTCTTTTTTTAAGTATTTCACACCTATAGATCCATCTAAATGAATGGCTTCCTCAGACACCACAGAATCATACCAGTGTTAGGATTTCAGGAGGTCACATAGTCCAACCTCCTGCTCAAAGCAGGCTGAATGATGAATTCAGACTTCTCCACTCTATAATCCATTAACAAGTGATTTCAACTTCTCTTTTCACATCCTGAATTTCTCTGTTCTGTCCTCTGTGCAAGCCCCTCTTTGGTCAATACAGAAGCTGGGAAGAAAAAGTGTGCATTGCTAATATACTGGAAATGCTTTGAGTTTATCAATAACATAGCAGGAAAAGGGGAGAAAGAGACATAATTTGTGAGGATTTATAATCAGCTCCTGGCAAGATTGCTCTCTAGGGATTGCTAAAACAATAATGTCATCATGGGTATGAGGAAAACTACTGCCATAGATCAAAAACTGGCTAAGTGAATTAAGAACAGGCAAAATACTGTGTCAAGCCTAATGATTTCACCTAAAAGAGGGCAGTGAGGAATTAGAAAGGTATTAAAAAGGCAGTATGAGCAAGAAGAGAGACTGGAGACACAGAAAACAACTCTCATGGTAATGAAAATAACAAGAAGGGCCTTGAGTCAGAAATGGTGATCTGAAACTTTTACTCTTGTTCGTTATTAGAAGGAGAGAAGGAGACAGCCAATGAAATTAGCAAAATAAAATTTTGTAAAAAAACTGTAGGAAGCAAAAAGAGAATACAGAAATGCTTGCTGCTCTAGGATAACTGTTAAAATCAAGGATTTTGCACAATTTAAAGAATATGACACCTTTGCACAGATAATAGCCCTATTCAGAGTTGCAGGTTAACTGAAAATTCAGGTTGCATTTAAAAATCTTTCTATTCATAGTACACACACAGAGACAAGAAAAAATAAACAACAGAAAACAAAAAAAACCCAACAAAAACCTCCAAAACAACCCCAAGAAAAAACATCAAAAATACCCAAACCACACAAATGGGGCAGACTGCTCAGCATATACTAAATGCATTAATTTCTTTTGCACCTTTTCCTGATGTGCACGATAGTGATCGTTGAACACAGTCAGAATACCAACCTGTCATGGCCAGTGTGGCATTACTTGTAGACTACTGAAGCCAGAATGCCATAGAGGCTGGTAGACTTAATACCTGCCATATGTCCCATCTGGGGATGATGTGTCACTGAATGAGCTACCGGTCTGAAACTTATTCCTTGCAGACAGGCATCTGTGTTTCATAAGTCACACAATAATGAGAAACCAAGGACAAAATGACATGGTGTCTGAACTGCATTCTCAAATTAAAGAATAAAGCTTGAATAATTTAGAACCCGTATTTATGAATATAATTATCAAAAAATATTAATTATAAAATTTGAGGTTTTAAAACTCACAATTACATGCAAAAAGATACCTTTTATCTTGGAAGATTACGGTCTTCTTCATAGGTGCACTGGTACTTAAATGCACAAACTCATAAAACATGACCAAAAATACTCTTTGCTGCAAGCTTTTTGGATAGGTTATTTGGTACGCGTTTCTTATCTTATGGCTGGTGCTTTTAGCTGCTGCTTTGTTATAAATAGGAATTCTCCTATTCATCATTTTCTATCTTTCTAATTTAAGAATTTATTATGTAGCCAGAGAAGAAAAATCAATAACACCTGACCTGAATGAACCAGCTATTATGCAGAGTTGAATCGCTGAAGTGAGCATTTTTCCATAACTTAAAGATTTAACTTTGAAAATAAGTTTAAAATGTTCATCCAAACCAGTCATGATTACTTATGAATAATGGATGCACCTGAAGAAAACAGGTCTGGTTTCAAAGCAATTTTCCATAGAAAAAAGGATCACAAAATTAGTTAGATAGTCCACCTATACTAGAGAAATCTGTCCAGCTCTCCTCAGCCACAGAAAATATCTGTGCTGAACTCTGAGTCAGCGAGCTGGATGGTACATTCTTGTGATGCTGTCTGTGTCGCACTTACTCTCATCACTCAACAATCATCAACTCAGCACCTTTCAGGAACACTGAATGAACTCAATAAAAAAGGAACATTGTCTTCTCCAGGCCCTCCTCCTCAAGTTCTCTGCTCTACAGAAGTTCTCTCTACAAGTTTTACATCCACGAACAGTAGCTCATTCTTGCCGAGGCCTCTAACCTACATTCAACACTGCTTCAGCTTCTGGCTCTCAAGTATATGCCAACAAACAGGAGACATTCACCACATCATAAGCAATTCTACAGAATGTAAAATCTTACACATTGCCCTTTGAATTGTCATCTTACATTTCTACAGTCCAATAAACAAGAGAGCTTGCTAAAAACTTTTATGCTTCATAAACACTGGCAGAATAGAAAGCCAGATAACTTCTCCATTTATCAGCTAACTCTAACATAGAAATTATCAAATAAACCTGTAAACGTTGATGGATTTTAGAAAGAGATTTCTCTGAGGTGCTATGAAATGCTGACAGAACCATAAATGTTCACAAGCAAAACATAATCTATTGAAGGCTATAAAGATGTAATGTGACTGCTTTCAACAGAATTATGGATTTGACAAAAATCACCCTGCTAAATAAATACTTACCATAGTCATTATCATAAAAAACAATGAATTTCTGCCAGGCGTATTCTGTGACCACCCTCAAGATGACATCATTTAAGTAGACAGGGGGGCGGACGGAGAGCGTGTAGTCATCGTTGCGGTTGCTCCTGGTGAGCCCACAGCCGCTCCTTGGCGTTCCTGCCGTTGAGCGCTGGATGAAGAGGTGAGGGATGTGCATGGCATCTGCCAGGGACTGCAGGGATCCTGCTGACGTGCAGCCAATGGAGCTGACAAGGGCCAGGATGCCTTGGTTCATCAGATCACAGGCTGTAAGAAAACAGCAATATTCGAGGTGAGTGCCGTTCAGTGCACAGGGCCTATTTTGCTGGCGAAATGCAGACAATGGGAATTGAAACACAACAGGTTCCATCAAGTGAAATATGGATAAACTTTTGTGCATTGAGTAATTCAGACCTAAAATTCATGAAAATCATGAAGCTTCTCTATTCATTTTGAGCTTTCTTGTGGTGAAAGCATGAAGACTGCCTTGTCTACCTTGCCCAGAAATGAATCATCCTTTGAAAATGGTACCCACCCCTGGGTGGAACAATTAAGGAATCAATTAAGAATTGATTCCAGCTACTGAATTAACATAACCACCCAAGGAGATAAGCACACTTCAAAGTCTAGTAGAATACTAGGATCTTTGCATTATACAGAGAAAAATCAAAGTAGTAACAGCTCGGGCTGCTGTCAACTCTTGAAGGCAACTGAATATGATTATGCACACTAACGTGTCCAAGCAAACACTCGGTTGTTTTTGAGTTTTAAGAGATACAGGCAATAATCTTATGTAACCTATTATTTGTCTTTAAAAAAAACAACAAACCATCCAAAAACCCAAAACAAGCAACAAAAAGCTAGTTTTATAAATAGCAAAATGTTTTCAGAATTCAGTTAATCTATATACATTTACTCTCTTCACCTCTGTAAGAAAGGCATGCAGTTGTTTGTGCAAAAAATTACACCTTGCAACTAATGGTCTTATTAATGAGGGCTGAGTTATAGCAGACAGTTTGAAGTACAATACCAATGACATCCACATTAGTGCCAAAGGTGTTTATCATGATTAATGTTAATGCAATCAATAAATATCAAAAGAATTAATAATGATTAGGTCTGTAATTTTGACGGATTACCCTGGAAAATAAAGTCAAGTGTCTATATTGGGTTTCTAACAGACTTGAGAGCTTGAATGAAGAAACAACTTGGGCTTGTACAATAATTCCCCTGAGCACACCTAAGGCTGAATTTTGAAATACTCGAATTTGCCACCGACAAGGCTACACATGCAGTTAACCTGCATTTACACATGTAAATTAGGTAATGGGATGGTAAGGTCACTATGTATTTCCATATGAATATCTAATACAAAACTGTGCGATTATTTATTTTGCAGGAATATTCTGTGCACAAAACAGGTGCCGGCAAAAATAAGAAACACACATGTGAGAATATATTCCCCTAAAAATATGAAAACATATTTTAGCGCCAGACTTGTTGTCTCATATCATATGGCTCTTACTCACAGTGAGTAATGTTTTACTTCGCAAACACTTATTGATCTCAGTGGGAATATTTACAGTGTGAGCAATGGAGTTCTACATTCAGGCCCATGTGGAGACTGACTTTGTAGCCAAAGGACAGCACTGGAGGTCATGAATGCAGAGAATCACTCATAAAACCAGTGCATTATTCTGGTTAAGATGCAGAGGTCTGGAACATGTCATGGTGCATTTCCAGGGTATACTGATGCCACTGAGGCTCTGTCCAATGGTAACACTTCTGAATTCCTTCATGCAGATATCTATGGGAGGGCAAGTGTAAACAGAGAGAGATTGCAAAGTGTTTTGGTTTAGGATGAAGTGTTCCCTCTGTATCTGCTCTGAATGTAGCTCAGCTTTTGGGCCAGCTTCTGGTCTGCAGGTTAAAGGTAATACATTTTCAATAACCACAAGTATTCCTTTTCAGAGAAGTACTGAATCTCATTGGTAACTGGACAAAAATTATCAGTATCTCACAAGTTCCTAATATTCAGAACATTTCAAAGCAATCTGACTAGCTATTCCTCTTTTATGCTGCTTGTTACATTCTTTATAATCACTTTCAACATAGATAAAAGGCTTGTCAAGTTATCTTTTTAAGGAGATGCCAAATCTCTTTCTTGATATGATTCTCCTATGCCAAGCACTGCAATATCTAGGTTGCCCATGCCAGTGAGAATGCTACTGGTTGAGAAACAAACTATTTTTATTGCAATATGGATCTATCCATTGATAAATACCTGTAGCTATATGTCAACAGATAACATTACAGCTAGATAACTTTATAGCTAGATATATGAAGGTGGTGAAACACTAGAACAGGTTGCCCAGGGAAGCTGTGGATGTCCCCACCCTGGAAGTGCTCAAGGTCAGGTTGGGTGGGACTTTGAACAACATGGTCTGGTGGGAGGTGTCACAGGGTATTTGAAAGAAGATGATCTGTAACGTCCCTTCCCACCCAAACCATGCTAAGATTCCATGATTCTAAGTTGACAGATGAATAAAACGGATGTTAGATTCTGTAAAATCCTGATTTTAATTAAACAAAAATATAGGTATACATGGTCCTGATGACAGCTGTTCAAATAAAGTATGTATAGTGAGCCTCCAGTCTCTCAAACACGACTCTTAAAAATATAGCAGAGTTGAACTACATTAAAAAAAATGCTTGAAAATGTCTAAATTTTCAGGCATGCATCCAGACTGAGAATAATCAGTATGCTCCCTGTAATGCTATGAAGTGGGAAACATGCTTTTTGTGAAAATTGTTATTGAAACATGAAGGGGAAGAAAACAGCACAGAACATTTAGCTCCACAGGGTCGAATGCTAATGCTGGCAAACAAACTGAATAAAGGATTAAAATCTTCTCTCTTGACACTGCACCACATTTGTTACAATAGCCTCAGGACTGAAGATGCCCGTGTGACTCTTTCTTCCAGGATACACTTATGAGAATCACATGTGCTGGACTGGGGCAATATGCACTTAATTATGCTCGCAAATGGACCTTATTCCTGTGCACTTAGAGACGATTTAATACACAGAGAGCTAGCTGCTGCAGAACGGGCTGTTAACTCAGAGGCAGGTGTGTCTACAAAATGAGTGCATGAGTTGCAGAGTTCACCTCTGAGTCAGTCTGACTGGAATAGTCCTTGAACAGAAATATAAGTATAGAACAGAAATCTACAGTATATACGCATACACAGTAAAGACTATATGTTATGTCAAACTACCATATAGGATATTCATATAATTTCTTAGCCAAGCAGAACTTCTGTTGGCTCCAGTGGAAGAGTTGATTGGTGAAAACCGTAAGACTGAGCTCTACATGTTTTCTTAATCGTCTTTTCCTCTCACAAATTAATAAATTCTTTTCCTAGTGATCCAAACCTTTCAACTTATCAATTGACTAAAAGCTCTAGTTCAAAAATATTTGAAATCCTCGTTGCATTCCCTTCCTGAGCCTAAAATATCCAAGTTATATTTTTTCCCATACGTGTTAAAAAATCCACACACACATTTATATATAGATATATAAGGACTTTAATGCTATTATGCCATTCAAAACTCTGCTGCAATTTAATTTACTATGACCTCCTTAGAGACTGCATTTCCAAGCTGGTGTTTAGTCTACTGCCAATATGATCAAGGAATATTAGTTTGCCACCAACCAGAGGAAAAAAATGTTGCTGTATCTTCTGAGTCCTCAGTCAAGACAGAAATGTCAAATGCAAATGGACTCCTACACAGCTCCATTGCAAATTTAACAAAGAAGGAACAGAAAATTAGTAATAATGTTTATAAAACACTACTTCTGTTCCGTATCATAAGTTATGTCTAAATAGAAATTGTCCAGACATTAATCCACCCTCATAACCAACAGACAGCAGATGCTATTAAAAGCTGGATCTTCACCAACTAAAGAAATAAATCACAGAATCTTACACATTTTGTAGAGAGAATATCAAGAATGTCTGTAAAATGAAATAATTTTAAATGTTTCTCCACTGTAGATATACATAGCACGTATAGCACATAGCACGTACAGCACACACTGGCGTGCACCCAGCGTTACATTTAACTCTTCAGCTTATCTTGCTTTTCTCAAAATGCAAAGTTACTGAATTTCCAACACTGGTGGGCCAATTGGCAGTAACAAAAAAGTGATCTTTTAGAATAAAATACCTTCTAAGCTAATTTGGCATGGAATCTAAAGAAAACAGTGTTCAGTATGCTATTTATTAAAATAAAGAACATAGCCAATGCAATTTGATATAAATAATTTACATCTAGGCTATCGGCTTGTATAAGCACTTTCAGCAAAGCAGAATTTAAATGGCTATGGTTACAAATGTATTCTTAAAATGTGTTCTCTGTAAAATGGTAACAATGGTGGGTTGTTAAATAACTACTAGTGGCTATCATTTTGGGGAAAAAAAAAGAGAATATCTATAAATAAGAGCAAGTTTAAAACAGATGCAAGAATAAAGAAGCACCAAAAAAAGGACCACTGAGATTTAACTATTGCTACAGACATGAACATTTTCTTATTTACTTCTCCCCTTTTCTTCCTGATAATAAATCATAACAAATCACCCTCATACACCACAAACTGATGAGTCAAACTGAAAAAAAAACCAACTGTTAAATCTCTGGAGACTTCAGTAACAGCCTAATTTTGCTCCCATTGAAACTGCTGGTTAAACAAAGTAGGAGCATTATTTTTTTTGAAAATGCTAAATATTGTGCATAAGGACTCGGTAGTATTCCTTTAAACAATCAGAGATTTATCCTAGGGTCTTTTTAATCTCCTACAATTTAAAAACGACCAGGCTCCTTCCAGAACTGTAGTGTAGTTTGACTGAGAATACATTGAGTGAACAGAAATTAGATCTAAAGCCTGTTCCCAGAGTCCTTGTCTCATGGGACAGACTTGGACACCCCAATGTCATTTCCCTGGATGTCCTTTTCCGAGCTGGCATCATTTCAATCTCACTGCTCCTGAATGTTTTCCACATATTACCCACGTAGAGTGGATAATAAAATAAAAAATAATAAATAAATGCTAAATAAGTAAATAATAATTTAAAAATATATAAAAAAACCTCAAAACCTCTTCACTGATCTCTCTGTTGCTTTGGGGTGAAGCATGAGTGGTCATAAACTGTTGTGGTTTTTTTTCCCTGTGCATCTTCTCTGCATATCGGAAGTGCTC